TAAAAAACTTAGGAGGGAAGAAACGGGAAGAACTAGGGAAAATATCGGAGAGAGAAACTAGCAAACAGCCTAGGGAAAATATCGGAGAGAGAGACTAGCAAACAGCCTAGGGAAAAGCCGGACGAAAAAGGAGCCGGAAGAAGCTATTGAAAGCCTAGGCATAGACTCGGATACGGACTACGGGGGGAAGCTGGGAGAAATCTCTAAGGTCGAAAGCGAAAGTGAAAGCTAGAACAAACAGACTCGGACGCGGACTGTGGGGAGAGGCCAGGAGAAATGAGGGAGGAATATTGTTGGAAGAAAACTTAGGGAAACATACCGGGTAGAGAAAAGTGTTAGGGAAATTGAAGCCGCGGGGGGCAGGCCGAGGCGGATACGAAAGCCACTTTGGGATTCTCAAGTTAGCCCGGGAATAGGGGGCGAAAAGTTGAAACCAGAAGCTGAAACGTAAGCCAGATTGGGATCCGTCTGATTAGCCCGGGGAGCAAAGGACGGGAAGCCAAACCGTGGGGCGGAGACGTATGCTGGGTTGAATTCGCCAGGCTAGCCCGGGGAACTTAGATTGAATGCTAGTGGCGGACACGTAAGCTACGCTGTGTTACTCGCGGAAGCCGCCGCGTGCAGAGAGAGCACGGGGCGTGAATAGATAGGGAACGGGGCTGGCGAGGCCGTGGTGCAGACGCGAAGGGCGTGGAGACCACGGAGTGCGCGAAGCCAAGCCGCGCAAAGCCGGGAAGCAGCGCAGATGAGAGAGGCGCGGGCTGAAGCGGCTCAGAGCCAGCAAGGCGCCGAGAAGCAGCCTCGGGGCGGAGCTGCCGGCAGGGCGAGGCACCGGGAAGCTGCAGGGATAAGAGAAATAGAAGCTTAGAAATAAAATGAGAGAAATAAGAATGCTGGGAGATAGAAGTAAAATGGGAGAAATAGGAATGCCCGGAGATAGAGAAATAGAGAAATAGAAAGGCCTCCCCTCAACATGGCAACGAGAAAGTTTGGATTCGGTCTGCCTGATTAAGTGAGGCGATGAGCACGATGAGCACCTGCGGCGGCTAGCAGCTTATGTGCCGCAGGTCACCGAAGACAGGCACGAATTAACATCAGTAAGGCTTCCCCACAATACCGCAATTAGAAGGCTTGGATTCGGTCTGCCTGATTAAGGCGGTAAGCGCCAGCAAGCAGCTCGACCAGAGTATGAGCTGCAGGTCACCGAAGATAGGCACGAACCAACACTAATAAGTCTCCCCCACAATAAGGCAATGAGAAGGCTTGGATTCGGTTTGCCTGATAGGTCTTGTAAGTCCCCTGCAGGCAGAGCAGAGCATGCGCTGCAGGGCACCGAACACAGGCACGCATCAGCGCCTAAAAACCTCCTCACAACATGGCGAAGAGAGGACCCGGATTCGGTTTGCCTGATTGATAGGACTTGTAAGAACCTGTGGCAACTCTAGCAAGTAGAGCAGAGTGTGTGCCGCGGGACACCGAAGACAGGCGCGTATCAACGCCAAAAATAAAAAGAAAGGGGGATCTGTGGGGAGCAAACCGGACTAGACTGAGTTACTGGAATTAAGACTTATTCTATGCATCTGCTCCCCCACAATATGGCGCTGGGAGAGAAGTAAACAGCTTCCGCACAGCTGCCTCCAGTTCAACTAATAAACTGTAGGACTTGCTCCTGATTGGAGAAGAGCAGCGTACTCGGCGTGTGGGCAGCCGAGTTAGGATTGGCGGAGGAGGACTATAAAGGAGGAGAGAGACGGCATGCACCGGGAACATCTATGGGGAACATCTAAGGGAACCCGTGCAGCCCCCAAGAGAACCGGCCGGCGGTGTGCCGCTCCCCTGCGGAAGTGGGGAATGTGGCCAGGGGGAACTGCCCTTCCACGGAGGTGGAAGGGATAGTAGCCAATCCGGGAAGAACCAGCAGCAAACCCGGGGAGGGCCGAGCAGACGAAAGAACAGCGCAGGGTCCTGTGTCGTTCCTCCACGAAGAGGGGGAGCGACAATCCCCTACTGTGTGTCTAATGCTATGATATTTCATTCTCTCATTTTATTGATAAATCTAGCCTGGGAAAACCAGCCAATTTGGGTAAGCATAGTTGGGCCAGAATTCAGATTATCAAGTCCTCTGCCAACCTGCACAGCCAATTAAGCTTAGGATGGCCTCACATAGACCAGGTGCCTCTGTGGGTTTATACTGCCTGTTCATGGCATTGTCAAGCTTAGCACACTTCTTTGGCCACTCTCAGTGCCCAAGCAGTATCTGATGAATAATTAATATAAGGAAGCAGAGGGGAAAATGTTGCAGCTGAAAACGAAAAGCTGGCAACCTTGCAGGTTGGAACTTTGGTCTGGAACACATTGACCCATTTGCAAAAGTACACGAACTGCCAGCTCTCGGCTTTTCTGAGACATTGGTGGTATTTTTTTTATTTAGGAATTTTAAGAGCTTTCTGACCCCTGAGGTCCAAGTCTTTGGAATACTTTTTAGTTTTCTCTCCCACATAGTGAAAAAGAGTGAGTACAGCATTGGCAGATTTCAAAGCCAAGTTCACGGAAGAGAGCCCAGTCATGCAAGGGTGGGGAATACCCCTGCAGGTGCACAGGCAGACATGCTGCAAGGAAGCTCAAGACAGAGTGTGCGTAAAGCAAGTTGCTGACCTCGTCTTCTCCCTCTGATCTTCTAGGGTTCTTCCTAGCCTTTCTTCTCTGGTTTTTCTTATTTTTTTCTTCCTTCATGCCTTTTACTGTGGCCACAGGGTCCTGGACTATTTCTGAGGTTGGGGCCGTGTGATTGCTCATGGACCAATCAAAGATGGCATCATAGCTCCACTCAGAGTGGACAGGATTGGTGGGAAGGAAGAGAGAATTTGCTCCTGGAGTTGCATATTCTAAAGAACTGGTTTCCGCAGGTTGGATTTCATAATAATCCCACTCCAGGCCACTGGAGGTCATTCTTCCACTAATTCTCAGTCTTTACCATGCCATCAAGATCAGTATCTGTAGAATATGAAGCGAGGAGTAAATTCTTCACAACATTAACTTTTTGTTTCTACCCACCATCCAAGACAGAAAAAAATCATTCCAGAAGTTTCCTAATAATTCATCTCCCAGTTTCTTTAAAGAACACACACAGAATTTTCATCCTCAAATTTAGATGTATTTCAAGGCGATTCATCAATGGGCATGACAATCACACAGAAGACAGGCATGGATCACACTGGCAGGTGCACAACTTCAGAACTAGTGAAGTTCTGCCCTCTCCTCTCCCAGCTGTTTTCACAATGCATTTTGTTGCCGTGCTTTAGTTTTGTTTAAGGTTTATGGAGCAAGCGATATGCATTGTGTGTCCAGAGCAAGGGGGGAAAATGCCAGAGAATAATCCCAGTGAATGAAAAGGGGTGGCTCCTGTCTGAAGGTGGATCCAGCTTTCCTTGGGCTGACATGTCTCACCCTGGCTACCTTATGAGAACTGGGTCTGTTTTGCTTTCTACCTTGCCCGAGAGAAACAGCAGCAGTTCCAGGATGTTAGGATGGGTTGTGTGCGGGAGAACACGGTGATACTCAGAGCTCAGGACTTAGGGTCATGGTGCTAAGTTGGATTGGCCAGCATGTCTGGCTCCGTGGCCTGGCCACTGTGGTAGGTAAGGACTTTCACCATGCACAGAGAAGACCAGAAGCACCCCAATACCTTTGAGCCAGCAACTCAATGTCCTACTTTTTCAGTGTCAGAAACTATTTTCTGTATTTCCCCTCCTGTCATCTAGTGAGATGATCAGGAAAGCTCTGATGGCTACAGTGCAGAAAAAATGAAAAACTACTATGACCCAAGGTAAAAACAACTGCTTAAAGCTACATCAGCATCTTTGGAAAACAATCATTCTGATGACCCAACAGACTCCAGGGATAACTGGAGATTTATGAAACACACTGATGGCCTTCTGCCCACATGAAAGACAATGCCGTGTTCAGTGACATCTTGGCAAGTGCTGTCCTTCCCACTGGTCAGTGCGCTCGCCAAGCAGTCTGGTAAATCACACCCCAGCACACCTGAGAGGCTGACATTTGAAAAGCGCTCGGTAATCTCAGCTCTCAAGGCTGAATCTGGAAGAGAACACGGAAGTCCAGAATCCCGAGGGGTCTGCGCCTTACAACATTTCTTACTTCTTACATCCTATCACACATGTGACAGTTGAAATAGATTCTGAAAATAGTTTCAATCACATGACCCTAGGATCTTTTCCTAACAGCTCATTGGAAGACAATTTCTATGATCCCTTCTTAGAGAACCCATCCAATGGGGCAACCCTATGTACTACGGACCCCACCCTGGCCACTGTGCTTTGACACAGGAGTGGACACCTGACCCTAGGGGAGTGACAGTCCTTCTCCAGTTTCAATGAGCAGAAGCAAGGCTGAGTTGGTTGGCAGCCAAGTGTCCGTACTAGCGCAGAAGCAGAGTAAACCCCTTCTGGGTGCCTTTTTCCTGGATTCGAGGAGATCCATGTCTTCTTATCTTATTGAATAGGTCCTTTTCAACTACAAGGACACTAAGAGAAATCCAGGTGAGAAAAGGAAAGGAATCATTTTTAAGCCCCATCTTTGCCTCAAGGTTGAATTTGGTTAACACCTCACATATCCAGCAGGCCTTGCCCACAATCACTGGGGGGTGTCCGTGTGCTCCTTTGTACTGGGGCAGGACACAGGCAAAATGCCCTGTAAGCCTCTGCACTTGAATGCTAACAGATAGGGCATGAAACATGGGCTAGAATCACCCTTACCCCCAAAACCTGACTTGCTACTGACAACAGGCCCAGAGCAAGTCTTCAGGAGGAAGTTGTTAAGACTGTGAGGATCCAGCTAATGCTAAAAAAAAAAAGAAAAAAGTGCTAGCAGCACATTCTTGCCCCTCCCCCCACAGCTGCTAATTCATTGTACTGTGGATGCCCAGGCAGACAAGCTTTCCCACCAAGCCCTCCCTTGGGAGAACGACAGCTTCTACTCACATCATCCTGGACATCGAGGTCACAGCCAGCCTTCAGCAAGATCTGGACCACAGAGAGATGGCCCTTATTGGCAGCAAGGTGCAGAGGGGTCCGGCCATGCTGTTAACGCAAAGCAAACACTGATTTCAGAACAAGACATCAAAATCATTTCTTTAGGGGTCAGGGGGTCCGGGGTAAAGTTCCTACAGGAGTGTTTAGGGTGATCACTCCTCTCCCCGCCCCTTTGGTTTGACAGGAATTTCTTATGGATTTACCCAGAATACAAGTTTGTCACAGTCACTTGGGTTATTGGCTTTGTAACTAACAGCAAAATGCTCACAAGCCATGCTATCCTTCAGTGCACAACTTTGTTACCCTCTCAAGTAGCAAACTAAGGAGCAGGTCAGCCTGGGGCTTTGGTCGTCTCATATTTTCCCACTGGTGCTTATTCTACGGGATGAGAAAATGGTCTGGATAAAACCAACCAGGGCAGAGGTAGGGGAACAACAAAACGTCCAGCTAACCAGCCTCAGAAAAATTTGGTTGGTAACTACCGTCCAAACCGATGAGGGGAGTTTCTTCTTCGTTTAAAAACAGATTTTAAAGTTATAAAATATTCCAGCCAAAAATATTGAAAATGTTCAAAAATTTTAAAAAATATATTAATATCGTACAAGCACATATCCATCACACATTTTAAGACACTGGGGCCGGTGCCACGGCTCAATAGGCTAATCCTTCGCCTGCGGAGCCAGCACACCGGGTTCTAGTCCCGGTCGGGGCGCTGGATTCTGTCCCAGTTGCCCCTCTTCCAGGCCAGCTCTCTGCTATGGCCCGGGAGTGCAGTGGAGGATGGCCCAGGTGCTTGGGCCCTGCACCCCATGGGAGACCAGGAGAAGCATCTGGCTCCTGCCATCGGATCAGCGAGGTGCGCCAGCCACAGCGCGCCAGCCGCGGCAGCCATTGGAGGGTGAACCAACAGCAACAGGAAGACCTTTCTCTCTCTCTCTCACTGTCCACTCTGCCTGTCAAAAAAAAAAAAAAAAAAAAAAAGACATCAGAGAAATCACGAACATTCCTTGTGAATTTCTTCCAGATTTTCCGTCTGACTTCCATTGCCAGAGGTCACCCCTCTGTCGAATCATTCTTTGCCTTTCATTATACTTATACTACATTCTTGTAACCACAGAACACAAAAATATTGCTTTCTTTGTTTCAAGTCTTCAGTAACAGGCATTGAGGATGGGTGTTTGGCCTCGCGGCTAAGACGCCAGTTGGGACACGCAGATCCCACATTGGAGTTCCTAGGTTCAACACCCGGCTCCACTCCCAATTCCAGTTTCCTGCTAATGTGCCCTGGGAGGCAGTAGGTGACAGCTGAAGTATGTGGGTCCCTGTCACACGGCTGGGGGACCTGGTCTGAGTTGCTGGCTCCCAGCTTTGGCGTGGCCCAGCTCTAGCTGTTGAGGGCATTTAGGGAGAGAACTAGAGAATGAGAATTGTTCTAAAATGAGAATAATAATAAATGGTGTCAAAGCATACAGCAGTGTCTTCGTTTTAAGATACTGAGTTTTATTCGTACTGTCACATGTATTCCAGTTCACTTACTATTCACTCAATCTCCTGCCGATGAGCACTCGCATTGTTCCCCGGGGTTTGCAGCCCATCTCCTGTGCACCTGAGTGGGCTTCTTAGCCCTGTTGCTGGGTCCCAGGGAAGACCATCCCTTCAACCGCCCTAAGCATGCGGGCTCCAGAAGACCCTAGATCAGCTTCTGCCAGAGAGCCGACCTCCCACCTGCGTAACTCTCCTGATTCTAGGGCACACGTGATGGCCCCTTTGCTTTCCCGCACTCCTAACCCCAGCCCTACCCATGCTGGAACCACACAGCCCCGAGCCACGAGGGTCTCACATGGCGGCACTGCTCACCATCTTGACCAAACTTCCCAGAGGTCTTTTATCAATATTCGAGCAGGAAAACAACTTTAGGATTTCAATGAAGTACTGATCGTGGGAGAAAACAGAAATGACAGACAGTAAAGGAATTTCATTTCTACGCATGAAACACAAAGTACGAGCATAATTCTGGAAAGAGGTCAGAGCTCATTTTAAAATTAGAATTCTTAATTAAGAGCAAAGTTACTCTCTTAAAAGAGCGGACTATAAAAAGCTTTTATAAAAAGGGCAGTGTCTGAGCTAGGAGGGAGTGACCTTTCTTTGCTGATAACTGCCTCAGCCACATGCTATAGAAACCTTGATTTTTAAAATTAATTTATTTATTTGAAGGCAGAGGGTGGAGGAGAGATCGCTCCCATCTGCTGGTTCAGGCCACAGCCAGGAGCCTGGAGCTCGGTCATTCGGGTCTCCCACAGATACTTGGGCCATCTGCTGCTGCCTTCTCATACTCATAAGCAGGTAGCTGGATCTGGGGTTGCAGGCAACAGCTTAGCTCTCTGTGCCACTACACTTGCTCCACTCCTGTCTCTTGCAATGAAATGCCCACTGTGGCGTAGTAGGTGCACGTGCCCATATGGATGTCGCTTTGAGTCCCTGCTGCTCCACTTGTAATCCAGCTCCCTGCTAATGTGTCTGGGAAAGCAGTGGAAGACGGCCCAAAATACTCAGACCCCTGCACCCACATGAGAAACCTGGAAGAAGCTCCTGGCTCCTTGTTTCAGCCTGGCCAAGCCCTGGCCATCGTGGCCATTTGAGGAGTGTACCAGTGGATGGGAAACCTCTCTCTCTCTGCAACTCCGCCTTCGAAATAAATAGGCCAGCGCCGTGGCTCACTAGGCTAATCCTCCGCCTGCAGCGCCGGCACACCAGGTTCTAGTTCCAGTTGGGGCACCGGATTCTGTCCCGGTTGCTCCTCTTCCAGTACAGCTCTCTGCTGTGGCCCGGGAAGGCAGTGGAGGATGGCCCAAGTGCTTGGGCCCTGTACCCACATGGGAGACCAGGTAGAGGCACCTGGCTCCTGGCTTCAGATTGGCGTGGTGTGCCGGTCATTGGGGGTAAACCAACGGAAAAGGAAGACCTTTCTCTCTCTATCTAACTCTGCCTGTCAATAAATAAATAAATACATCTTTAAAAAAAGTCTACAGTAGACCAGATAGAGCAAAATGACCGGGTTTTACTCCGTAGGGCTGGTTCCAGACTCTGTCATTGCACACCCTTGTTAATTAATTAAACTTGACATTGAACAAGTGACTTTCACAGTTTTCCAAGGCATTCTGAAACAGAGTTCACCATGTGTGTGAGGAGAAAAACGTGTGTGCTGTGAATGAGGTGATGGCGTGGAGGACACAGTTCATTTGCACTGGAAAGTACAGACCATGGTCATGACAGGTGCTGCAAAAGGGGGCACAGAGTAAGGAGTCTTGGTGCCAGAGTCAGGAAGGCCCTGCGGAGTATTCTCAGCACCACACAGATGCGACTGCCGAGGAAGCTGAGGCCTGAGGGAGCCACAGGGTTGGTGCAAGAGAAAAGTAACCAGAGGCAGAAGCAAAGGCTGCTCTGGTCTGCAAGGGACTGATCCCCCAACCCCCCCAAAGTGTGCATGTTGAAGCCCTAAGCCCAGTGTCAGGGTGTTTGGAGGTGAGTGGGTCACAGGGGAAGCCCTCGTGATGGGATCAGTGCCCATATCAGAAAAGACACAAGAGAGCTTGCTTCCTCTGTCCCTTTACCGTGAGAGGAGATAGCATGTGCAAAACAGAAGTGGGCTCTCCCCAGGTGTGCCCTGGGCCCCCTGATCCTGGACACTTTGGTCTCCAGGATGGTGAGAAACAAAGTCTGTTGTTTAAGTGACTCGATTTATCATATCTTGTTAGAGGCGCCTGAACGGACCAAGACAGGTTCAAACCACATCACGTTTGGAAGGGTGCATTAGAAATTACAAATAGGTTGGCATTGGACCGGTGGCACCTTCTTAATCCAAAGTCAGCAAAGAATCCAACCTATGGAGAAAGGAAAGGCCGGAGGCATTGGAGCTGAACAGGCCTCGCTCAACCTCAGCTCTGACTCCTAATGCCAGCGTGGTTTGGGGCATGACACATAATCTTCTAAGCCAGCTTTCTCATTTGCAAAATAGAACAGTTTTTGTTGCCACCCCAAGGCTGGCAATGAATACACGAAGGAGCACCCACCATCCAACGTGGGTCTCCCTCCCCTCCAGCTGTCCCCCAATCCCTGGGGACACCCGCACACCTCTGCCTTTGCAGACCCGGAGAGGATTGTCAAATGGATGTGGTGAAGGACCAGGCCTTGGGTCACTTGGGCAGCCTGGAGGGCTCGGGCTGGAGGGCAAGTGTCTGCGGCCAGTTTTCATCTGCTCGCCAGCTCTTGCTTCTGAAATCCGTGGCCCCCGTCTTGGTGTGTTTGCTTACAAGTGCCTCCTTTACTAGGAAATGCCTTCTCCCAACTGTGTCTCTGCTTCTCTGTGGAGCTGTGTTCTCACCATGTCTTCTCCTTGCCCATGGCTCCTCCCAGCTGCGCTGTCTCCTCCTCATGTCTTCCATGACCAGTGATGAGGCTGACGCTGCGGTGTGGCGAGGGCCGGCTCAGAGCGGCCCAGTGTCCTCCAGCACGGGCTAGGGCCACAGACAAACTCCACATCCGGCTGATCTCAGGGAAATCCATGCGAAGCATGGGTGGTTGTGGTCTCCAGGTTCCAGGATGGCTCAGCCCCTCAGGGACGGTGCAGACAGCCTGGGGACCTCAGGAACATTCAACAACTGCAACAGTGACTCGCCCCTTGGCTCCGTCTCTGGTGTGCAGTAAAAGCAAAGCTAAGTGACTGGTTTCCCACCAAAGCTGCAGCAGGCCCCTGGGTCTCCCTACCACAGGGAAAACCTCCCTCCACACACTCACACACCACCTTCCACAGAAGGAAAGAAAGATGTGCACTTGGCTTTCTAGGACATTCTGGAGTGAAAAGCACCCAAAGTGGAGCTCTTCAGAGGTGCGACTGTGTACACAGATGTCCCCAGACAGTGTCTAAGCTCGGGGGAAGGCTGGGGCCCCCCTGAAGGCCAGGGGCACCCACAGATCTTTCCAGACATCTTGGGATAGCTAAGACGTAAGGACGCAACCGCTGTCCATGCCCTCTAGGACCAGCTGTGGGA